CGGAAAACGGCGCGTTCAACAACGCAGAGCCAACCCAACACGCCATAGTCAAATCTCAAATCTATTTCCATTTTTGGTCCTAAATATACTGATCCGGTGGCCAATATTTGCCCCTAGAATTTAAATAAAAGTATTATTCACAATTATCGTCATACATGCATATCTTCAAAATTTGTGGATATAAAATGAAGTGTTTAGATAATTTGAGACCTTAATTTGTGCTTTCTATAAAATTAAAATTGATTTTAAATTTCTAGGTCAAAGGTCATGTTCAACTTTTCTTCAGTTAAAATATAAAACCTGATTTTGAACAAATTTTCCCAATTTTTAAATTTAAAAATTTTTATAATTTGATTTAATGAATCATTTATTAAAAAATTGAAAGAAAATTATTTATTTTTAGTTTAATAAAGAAAACAAAAATTGAAAACATTATGAACTTTTAAGGACATTGAGTTCCAAAACGAAGTCTCTCTTGATCATTCTAAATTTGTTTGTTGACAAAATTTCAAGATCTTATTGTTAGAAAATTTATATACTTCAATTGTCGAGCCAAGAATTAAGTTTTTTTGGAGGAAATCGCATAATACATACTTTCCTCGGCGTGATTGCAATAAAAATAAATCACCAATTGAATGAGCGCAGAGTGGTCCATACAGCGCGAGACAAGTGTAAAAAACTGATGGTCCGCTCGGCGTGCACTCAGCGCGCCCTGGCATTCCCCATCAGCCCTCAATTTCACCCACACACGTTCCAATGAATGGTGATTGATTTTTGCCGGCCCGGATAAAAATGATCGCCGCTTGATCGTTACGCCTCACATAAAACCAAAATAAAAGCTGCTGCTGCCGCCGGATTAATTTATCTGGACTGACGTCAGAGTCGCTGTGGCTTTCGCATGCGAGGAAAAAAATGCAAGGCGTCTGCCATTCACTCTCGTCTGCATTTTTATGGCGGCTTTTGGCGGCTGAGCACTCTGGAATAAGAGAGAGACGGAGCTTTTTACACAAATTGCGTCAATCGCGAGATGAAGTGTGCGAAAACGCGGGGCCGCGCACCAGCAATTAAAAGTCGATCACACGCAGCCCTTCTTGTTTGCCTGAAACGCAAACAAATTCGGCTGCCAAAAAAATAGCTGCTGATGAAATTTCTTGTAAAAAATAGTGAAAAATATATTTTTCATGCATCAAAACAAATTTTTCATAAAAAAAATATCAAATAATATTGAGCTGAACCACTAGTTTAAATTTATAGTGTGTGATTTTGTACGCCGTGTTTTTATATATTTCTAAATATTGCACAAAATTAATTGTTTTCTATAGAAATTTTTTTTAATCTAAAAAACTCGATTGTCTCTTACCGGCTAAAAATTTCAGCAAAATACTTTTGGTCCGTGAATTATGAGACACGCGGCTGTATTTTACTGCACTTTTGGGCTACTTTGCAAAGCTGTAAAAAGTCCATAATTCCGTGTCGAATTCAAAATATTACGCCGTCTTGTGGTGCATGAACAAGGGTAGCGCCATTGATGCCAGACGCGATGCGCCGCAATAATTTCGCCATGACTGGGATCAAGATAAAAGTTTGGTGTGCATTAAAATTTGGCACTATCTCTGGGCGGCTCTCTAATGAGATACGACGAGATCTGTACACGCCGCGAGCGAACTTTTATCAGGCTCATTCTTTGTCAAATGCAATAAAGGGATTTATTTTTATCCGCTTCTGATATTTTATATTTTGTTGAAGAAAAAAATTCATTTATTCAGTGCCCGAGTTGGCGCGCGCGGAAAAGAGGAATAGAATTTTTTTTATCCGGCACCCTCTTCGCTGCGGGCCGTATATTTTCCAACATACATAGGCAACACGCACAACAACACACACAGAAAAAAAAATATGGAATGAACGAGCAGATGAACAAAAAGAGCCCATGTTGGAATGACTAGAAATATATCGCCCGGCAATATAGAGAGGAATGGAGAGATCTGCGCTGCTGGGGGATACTCAAGGAGCAGATTACGAGCGGGAAATTGTATAACGACTGCTCTTTTAATATTTGGTTCCAAAGCCCACTTCTAAAAACAGAAAGACCAGCAGAGATAAACATTTCTATGTGTTCGTCCATGCCAAATACAACATTAAATTATCACAAGCTATTTACAATTAGAAAAAGTTGAGCTGAATAATTATATTAGCATAAAATAATTGAATAAAATGTGTAAAATTAAAAAAAAAAACTGATGAAATATGTAAATTCTTTATAATATAAAAAAACATTTATTTATTATTATAATTTCTTATTTTAATATTATTTTTGAATTATTTATTTGGTTTTTTATTTTTACGGACTAAGTTATGGAAAAAATAATTATTTTGTCATTGTTAAAGATCCTCTCCGGTCAAGTGTTTTGCTCTCTATTCTGAAAGATTGCTAAATTTTGGGTATATCTTGTGAAAACACTAATTGGAAATTCCAAACCGTTGTGTCTCAATCAAAAGAAAACCTAAATTCGAGTGATTCGCGCGAAAAACGTGTGAGAATTGAGTAGCCAATCAGATCCATCAGTTTTTTCCAAGAACTGCAGGTTTTTGTCACTTGTGGCGCTGCAATCGCTGATTTTGCCAAGTTTTCTGCAGCGCCGTGGGGCATTAGTGGAAAAATCAGCGATCGCAGCGCCAATGTGACCAAATTCTGTAGTTTTTGGAACAAACTGATGGATCTGATTGGCTACTCAATTCTCACAGGTTTTTCGCGCGAATCACTCGTATTTAGGTTTTCTTTTGATTGAGACGCAACAGTTTGGAATTTTCAAATAGTGTTTTCACCAGATATACTCGAAATTTAGCAATCTTTCAGAATAAAGAGCAATACAAATGACCGGAGTGGATCTTTAACTTTTAGTTTGTACATATTTTGTCAGAATTTAATAATTTTGATAGTATTTAACACAAAAGAAGGGCTAAATAATATGAAATTAATTGGATTTTACAAAACTATGTATTACTTTTTCAGTATGTGTCAGTATTTTAAACTTGTTTCAACATAATTTCAAGATTTAAAATATTCATCGAAATTTTACAGTTCAAACGCAACATTATTTGATAATTTTTTTTTAAATAACAAAGATCAAATTATAAAATTTGTACACTTTCCGAAAAACAAAATTGTGTAGGCATTAAAAAAAAGCTCTTTTGAAATGAGAAAAATGATACCACACCATCTGGGGTAAGCACAGCGTGGGCGATAAAAGACATTGCACGTCTCTGTGCGGTGAACTTTTAAGGGCACGCGACACTCTGCGAGGTCGGCTAGACACCATCAAACACCCAATCAGGCGCAGTAATGTGCGGCGCGGTGCTTTTTGCGCGCCGGCCGGGTCAGGATTATTGGACTGGCGCTTTTGTTGGTCGCGCCTAATAAAAGGATCACACAATAATGTACTTGCGAAGATCTCGTTTGCGATTTATGGCAGCCGAGTTTGCGGAATTCGCGTTGTTATACTCGCATGCGGGGCCATTACTATTTGCATTGTGGGGCGCTTTTAAGTGTGAGAGCCTGATTTATCGCGGCGGCGCCGCGACCAAGGAAAAAATGAGTCGAGAATGAACAAACTAATGCCAATTGCATTTTTGCAGTCTGCGAGAAGAGCACATTGCAGTTTTAATAGCGTCCTGCATGTGTTCCGCCTCTGCATTCGAGCACAAAAACAGAGCATTTTGGTTTTGGCAAACTTGCAGTCTATATTATATCTCAACAAGTCAAAGTGGATATGAAATATTGGTCTCCATATTGCAGCCAGTGACTAGATCCTTTATTTAAAATTTCATCATAATTATAAAATATTGTAAAATATTGACTTAAAGAGAGTTTTCAATATATAAGCAAAGTTGTTACAGATTGATATTTTTTATTTCAGCAATTTCATCTTTTTTAACTTAATTTATTTCAATAAACAAAACGTTAAATATAATATTTAATTTTTAAGAGGTTTTCTCGTCGATTTACTGAAACTGTGCAAACAAACTAGGCTTTAAAGAATCGAATACAAACCAAAATTTTGACTTTTAATTGAGAAATAAATTTTTAAACTGGGTCAAAAATTAATATGTGTGATATAAAATTCAATTAAAACTCAGAAAATTAGGGTAAACATAGGCCAGTTATGTTGCTCTGTTTATCCTAATTTTCCGAGTTTTAATTGAATTTTTGATTTTTTTTTTATACTAAAAAATATTAATTTTTTAGCCATTTTAAAAATTAATTTCTCAATTTAAAGCCAAAATTTTGGTTTTTATTTGATTCTTTTAAAGCCAAGTATTTCTCGCACAGTTTCAGTAAATCCACGAAAAAACCTCTTAAAAATTAAACCCTGAAACTGCTTTACACTTTACAACACAAACAAAGACACTGCTCTACTATCTTTTTATTAACTTTATATACACTTGCTTTTCATTTTTTTTTCTGTTGTTTGGCGCTGACTGCGTTGCTGGAATTCGTGCCTGTTTTCACTATCATGTCAAGTTAGTTAGAAAATTCATTGTTTGGTATATTATGCAGGTATTTTGAAATTTACATTATTACGATTTACAATGGCAAAAAGATTAAAATTTTCTTTTCATCAGAAATAATTTAATCCTTAAACGACAATAAGTTGTTGCAAATATATATAACTATTTAAATCAAAAAAGTCAAAGATTTCTGCTTCATTTTTTGGCCTTTTTCTCACCAATATATTTCTTTGTAGTAATAAAATAAAATAAATTTTAAATATATAAATTAAATTCTAATTTTAAACAATTCACTTTATTTAATAAAACAAATTTTATAACTATTATTTAACAGTTATTTAAAAAATATATATAAATTAGTAGTTAAAAATACCTGATATCAACAATGAGCAATCTAATTTTTCTCTTTGCTTTATTAAGGTTTCATTAGGATTTGTATCGGAAGAAATAGATATTGGATGGTTAAAATAAAAGAAAAATTATAAATTATTTTATATAATTTAATATTTATGGTATATTTGCCATCAATATACAGTAAGCACACCAGCGAAAAATATTTCTCCCAGGTTCATCCGTGTCATTTTCTTCAATCACAACCATTATTATGCTCTTTGGCATCGAATATGAGATTTAATATTGTGTCAACTACTGCTCCTTCAGGACGAAACAGTAAAAGAAGGGGCCGTCCATGAAGTGCCTGTGGCCGGCAACATGTTTGAGGACTCGGCCTTCGACCAACTGCCGGCCGTACTTGAGCGCTTCGACTCGGTCGTGGGCCAGGCCGACCGACAGCAGCCAGTCCACCAACTCACAGCCCGGGAACGCCTGCTTAAACTGTTGAAGGCGCCACCTGAAATTCAAGCGTTCACCATTATTGCTGCAATAAAAAATTCATCTGGCGCGGCCGGAAGGGAAAAAATAATCTACCTTCTGTTCCTGGCAATGGCCCGGTGGCAATTTTCCAAATGATGTTTACGAAATTGCTCGCAAACTTGCCTCGTTTCAAGGCTCAGCTCGTTCCACGGCACCAACTGCAGGGCTTCGGAACCGAACCAAAATCGGCGCCATCTAAATGGTTCCAATATAATTTAATGGGCAATCGTTTTGCAAGGAAAATGAACATACCTCTTGACGAATGGCAAGATAATCAGCTCCGAATCCAAACCGAAAACAGCAAAGGCGAAAATGCTCTGGCCGAAATTGAGACTTGCATCCAAAAAGGAGAGCTCGATGAAAATTCCTGATATCTTTTCCATCACCAGAGTCCAGATGCAAAGTGCAATTCCCTGAATAGTTTTTTTCATTTAGAATTCCGTTTTTTCTTCTAAATTTTAAATTTTTATTTACCACAAACATGGAGCAGAGAAGGAAAAGCAAAAGGACGACGTGTTTTAAGGTTTGTGCCTCGTCTTCCGGACCTTCGTCTTCATTTCTGCAGCAGACAGAATTTCCAGCAAGTTCCTCGACTTCGTCATCTGTTGCTGTAGAAATTGCAGCTCTGTACTTTTCCACAGTTTCCCTGCACGATTCTTGGCCTCCGCTGGCGCATGAAAACTCGCCAGGACACAAATCACCAGCAGATAAAGTGCTGAAAATTAGAAAATAATAAAATTAAATGTTTAAAATTGTTAGTTGAAAAATAGTTTAATCTTGGCACAACAAAAGTGCTTTAAATTAAAACAAATAAAATTTAAACAACTTCTAGATAATAAAAAAATTTCAAGCGCTTTAAATTTTAAATTTATTTAAGAATTTATCTTAAAATTGTTGAATAAAACAATAATTTAAAAAAAAAAAATTGAAATACCTAGTTGTTCTGCGCCTTGGAATTTTGTCTGAGGAACTTGGGCCAGCGGCATGACTTACTGTAATATCCTCAATATCCACAACTCTAGAGCAGCAACCTTTAATTTTTGGTAAATTTTAAAATGAACTTCACTTCTTTGATAAGAGTTTTTACCATTTCCGCTGGCACAGGGGTCACTTCCGGAAGCCTTTCCCTCGCAGGTATCGCCTTTAAGAGAACATGTTTCAGAAGACTGTGTTTTCGGCTCAGACCCGACACCTTCATCCTCATCCTCAGAAATACCTTCATCCTGAATGTTCCCAACGCCGCCGTCGTCCTGCACCAGCAGCAAATAGCGCGAGTACCTTTGGCGATATCGTTGATGGAGAATCAAACATCCTACAGTGACTATAGTTTTTTTATAATTTAATTAATATAGATTTAAATTAAAAATTTACCCAGCATGCAGACAATCAGTAAAAAGGTGGCGACAATTGCTTGAATTTCTCCGTAAGTAAAATTAGGATCGCGCCCTCCTAAAATCACAACTTCCTTTTTCACAATCAACAGCAGGGCCGTCACTATCACACTCGGAATGCTGAAAATTTAATAAATTAAAAATGCATGTAGAGCTTTTTTGAATTGCATACCCCCAACCCAACAGGATGAAATAAGGCTGTAATTTTAGGACGAAACACAAACTCCTGCACTGCATCAGGACCAGTCCAATGGCAAGAAAGGCTGTCCAAAGACGACACCCGTAAACTCCGAGAGCGAAAATTGAGAACTGGACGTAGGATTGCCATCCTTCCTCCTGTCCCAAAACCGTCCATAATATGGCTCCGGTGCAGGAAAGGAACTGTTAAATTTAAAATTGTACTTAAAAAATTCAATAATCATGAAAACAATTTACTTACTTGAGAAATGACCAAACAAAAGGTGAATCTGTGAGGAACCCGCTTGTATTTCTTGCTCAGAATAAAAACTATTAATACCCAAATCTGCAAAAATTTTTCAGTGAAATTATTATTATTTTTTTTTTTAAGATCCAACTCACACTAAATACTAAGCCAGCAATGCTGATGCGGAAAACAAAAGTGTCGAGTTCTGGCAAATAATCGGATGGGTCCAGTTTTGTCAAAGTTATCATTCTGGCGGAGACGAACATCAGAGGCGCCGAAATGAACGTACAAGCGACCATAGCACTGGCAATCTAAGCAGAGAAATAATTAAATTTGGATTAAAATAATTTCATTTCTTACGAGATCAACATCAATATTGTATTGGGTCGCAAACACAAACACGCCGGGAGCAGCTGGGAAAGTTCCGTAGAGGAAGCCGTAAGTGCTGTAGTCGGACGTTTCAGTCTCGTTTACTCCAGGTTTTATGATGCTGACCACCTCTCTGACCACCAGAGGCAGAACCAACCTAAAATATTATAAAACTATAAAATCTCTATTTTAAATTAAACTCAAAATTATTTACAATTTGACAGCAATCATGATTCCAGGGGCTAGAAGGGCAGCGCCTTGCATTTTGTGCACTTTTCCGACCATTCGCAAGCCGAGTAAAAACAGAGCCGTGGCCGAAAAAGCCGATCCTAGAACCTGTGAAAAAATTCATTATTTTTCAAATTTAGTTTTTGACGGAAAAACAGACTTTGAGAACTCCGTAGATGCAAGTGGGTAGCTGATGGTGGAACAAAATATTTCCGAGCATGCCCAAGCCGGTCATCAGGACCACAGGGTTGAGGGCGATGCTCTTGATGACCGCGGCCGCCAACCGGCAACCACCGACAGGTTGTCCTTCACTCTCTCGTCGTTTGCCAAGTTCCATGAGGACAAAACCGAGCGGGTTCAAAATGACCAGTGAAATCGGCGCCGCGAGGTAAAGGTACGACGGAAACTCGGGGTGCGATTTTTGGTAAAGTGCGGCGACTGAATAAAATTTATGATATTAAAAATTTAATATTTTTTGTATTTATTCACTGACCAATTGGATAGCCAATGGCGAAGTCGTTGCTTTGAGTGCAGAAAATGGAGAAGAGGCCTGCTCTGCCCAAATTGACGGGGCGGCTGATCAATAAAGTGATCAATCCCACCCCGAAGAAAACGATGGCCTTGGCGATCAGCAACGACAGCAGAAATTTCCAATTGACGGAACTGCAGAATGTATTGGTGAAGTTATTGACTTTTGTCGATTGGGTTTTGATTACCTTAAATCTAGTTCGGCGAGGGACAGGAAAATAAGTGAGGGCAAGGCAAAGGTGCCGACGAAGGTTCCAAGACCTTTGCCCTCCGTTTGTGAGATCAGATTGAACCGTCCAGCTAAGTATCTGGAATTGGAGGATTGAAAATTTTAAGTAAAAAACATAAATAATAGTCTGCAAATATTGGATTTAATAAAATATTATAAATTTTTAAACTTAAAATGAAAGATTTTTAAAAATGTTTATATTAAATAATATATTATTTAATTTATTTAATTATATTATACTAATAAAATGAAAGACATATAAAAATAAATAAATATTTAATTTTATTTGATATAAAAATATTAAATTTATATTTTTTCCAAATTGCCATTTTCTCACAATTATTTATTAAAAATAAAACAAAATATAAGTAATTATTAAAAGCAACAAACAAGAATAATTATCACAAAGAAAATCAATTAAATCTCTGTAGTAATGGAATCATTGACGTTGTGATATTGCAAAGGCTTAATTGAAGACATATTGACCTCACAATCAATAAAAAATTTAATGATTCACTGTCAGTATCAAGTGCATTATAAAATAAATAATGTAAAATATTTTTCAATAGTTGAAAAATTAAAATAATTAAATAAAAATTACATAACATTTGATTGAGATAATTTGAATTATTTTTTTTACCCGCAGATGATGATGGCGAAGCACTCGATGAGGGCTGGATACAGGTTTTCCATGGCAATGTCCCCCGGACTGGGGGGACTGACATCCGAAAAGTTGGCTTGCCACATCCTTGACATCCTGTACTTGCGGATCAAATCTGGGGGTGCGCAGAAGTGGGTGAGAAGGTGGTTGCGGATGATCCGCGAACCCCACACACAGGTGGGCAGCATTATTAAATTAATATAATATTTTTGAGAACTTTTCGAGGTGCGAACTTCACAGAGGGCAAATTCGGACTGACTGAGAAAAGCTCGGTGGTGCAGTTGAAAGGAATAAAAAAATAAGGCTATGTGGCGAAAGATATGCGGGAGTCGTGGCGGAATTTTCATTAATGGCATTCCTCGAGGGTGGAAGGAATTTAATATCATCGAGGGCGGAAAAAGTTTTTCGCTTCGGGGTTGCATTGGCTGTCAACGGTAAGGGCTTGTCAGAGCATTTGACATATGTGTCAACTTTTAGGCAATTTTTTCGCCAAATCAATAAGACAATTTTCCTAAGAAATTATATAATCATACCTTTTGAAGAAATTGATAAAATTAGGACTTTCTCCGTTTAACCCATTTGGCTTTTGGAAATTTCGGCCGTCATCTTTCACAACGCATGTCGACTAATTGAAATCACAAATGCAAGGAACAGTGACCCCTAAGACGCCCCTTTAAGCTTTACGCTGAGACCGTTGACGTCACGTGTGAAAGGCAAAATAACAAATCGGCCAGTGTGGCCCACTGTCGGCGCTTTTCGGGGACACCTGGACTCGGCAACAGTCCAAGTCCTACTCGGTGCTGCCCTCACTTGGAACCAGGCCAGGAATGTGAATGGAATGCACCGGTCATGGACCTCGCCGGTTTCCAAATCAGCCGCCAGATGGAGAGAAGCGGCCGAAAGAGAGGAAAATCGGCGCGCGATCAATGCGTCGCTTTCACCATTGGCGCGGCACCGAAACGAGGACTCGTTTCTAAAAATAAATAGCAACTGAGAGAGAGAGACCGCGGCGTAGAAGCAGCCAACGAGTTTCTCTGCGACGATTGTAAAAAAGTGTTTGATTGATGACACAGAAATTTTATGCGAGGACATTAATGTTAAAAAAAAGGTCCGACTGAATTGCGGCGCGACGAAAATGAGGTTTTTTTCAAGATCTATAAATACCACTTTTTTATAAATTTCTAACCAATATTTTAGTAAATCCTCAGAGGAGAATTGGGCAGACTTGCTTAAAAATATATTTCTTTACAATTAAAAATTAGATGATAATAAAAGATTAACACGCTGAAGCGAAAGAGTTTTGTAAAATCTCTTTAAAGCCGCAGAGCTAGAATTAAGGATTCCACGCCTTAAAACGCAAACAAAATTAGTTGATTGATGAGATTTTCTTCTTTCATTGAGTTCTTTAAACTGCAAAAATGAAGAAAAACGGAATATATTGATGTTGAAAATTTGTTCATCATAGTTATTAACTTTGAATTTCAGTGCTTCAAATTAAGCCATTTGCTGTACAATTTATCAACAAATTTAGTTAGGAAAACTTTGGTTTATATCTGATTGATAGTTTTAAACCTTTCAATATTGAATTAAAGACAAATTTTGAGGAAAAAATCGCCAAAATCAAACTAGTCCCTTTGCGCCATTTTTCAGCGAAGGCACGTTCGGACGACTCGAAAATCTCCATTTTCCAAGGCTGCTGCCCCAATTTGACATCAAAATTCAGTTTCTGTGGCATTTGGTGGAGCAACCTGACCATTTTCCAGCGAGCTTCCTGTCGAAGGTGCCCGGAAAAAGCTGAAAAACGGAGCGTTGGCGGCAGCGTATGTGGTGCTATGCAACTTCAAAAGCCGCGCCTCCGTTCGCGCCGCGGCCAATCCGAGCTCGATCGCGTCGCGTCCGCGACACGTATCAATAAAGGCGCTTAATAAATCGATGCGCAGGTCGATTGACCACGCCAAGATAAAATCAGGTCGAGCCACTGGAAATCCGAGCCGAGGACACACTTGCGGCGCCCTGGCAGGGCCGGACTGGGCCGAGGCGCCGACGCCCGAGGACGTTACAACAGCGCGCAAGTTATCACTCGTGACGTCATTTCTCGGCGCCAAGCGCTTGTTTTTGCTCCGCGGTAATTACGGTTTGTAATTGAGCACGGCATTAAGTCGTGCACACGCAATTATGCCTTATGAGAGAGCGATAAGAACTAATGAGCCGAACCTGATGATATAGTGGATTTGCCGCCTCAATCGACAAAAAATATTGTGTTTTTCATAAACATAATTTCAAACCATTTCTAATAAAAAGTTCTTAACATTTTGAAGCATTGACGAGTAAAATTTTTGCTTTTATTTAAAATAGTAAATAATAAACAAATGTATTAGTATCACCTAAGTGACTTAACATATATAGCTTAAATAAAAAAAGACTTTAAATTAAAATAATGTGTAAAGTATAAATAAATTAATTTAAAAAAAAATTAATTTAACTATTAATGTCAGGAAAACATTTAAATATTTTTTAGTTTAAATATTATTTAAATAAAATTTATAATTGATTTTATTTAATTTTAATAATATTTTAATTATAGAATTATTATATTACAACTTTTAAATCTATTATAATTATAGCAGCTCAATTTTTTAATAAATAATTATCATAATTTTATTATATTTATGTGACAATAATTATATTTATTGCGGTTCCAACAAAATCTTCATATCAGTATTAAAATCTATTAATACAGACGATCTTTTGTCTTCAATGATTTTGTCATTATTATTATTACAAAGTATTCTTAATTCAGAATATAACAGATGAAGGCTGTTTAAATTATTAAAATTTTAAAAAAGAAGCTTTGTTTCCAAAATTTCAGCTCGAAGCGCGTTTCCCAGCAACTGCCTGTTGAGCTCCCAATCGCCGACCGCGTTCATATCCTGGCGCTACTGGTCCTATATAAATTTTCAGTCAAGGAAATTTTCGCCCGGGATGAAAAGTATGCTGATCGATAGAGCACCGTTTGTCACGCTAAACCTCAAATTCTGGAGGCCGAATCGCACTCGGCGGCCGAGATTTCGTTAAAAGTTCGGCGGCGCCTTTTGCGCCGGCTCGGAAGAGAAACCACTTGTGGCGCGGGCCCTCGTGCCGCCCGCTGCCGAGCTTCATCAAATTGCTCCGAACCAACTCTCGGAATAAATTTTCTCTCTTCGTTAAAAAAAAAACACCAAACTTTATCAAAAATTGAAAAGTTTTTTTTTGTAATAATTTTAATCGTTTTTTTTGTCGATCTGCCGGCTGGTGTCGTGAATAGGGGGTTATTTATTCTTTTGTCTGCTCGCGGTCGACGCGCTCGGGGGAGGAAATTGAGCGGCTGCATGCGAGGGTTGGAGGCACAAGGTGGCGAGCTCCCCCTCGGAAGGGCCAACGGGCTGCGATTATTTGTTCTCTCGCGCGTAATTGAATGGAGCAGGATGAGTCAGGAGCAGCGAGAGGGGCCTGACATTTTTATTGCCCGCGAATCGCCGCAGCCGCGCCGTCGGATTAATAATAATATGTGTGTGAGTCACTCTCGGAGATGCATGCTCAATGCGTGGACCATTTTGGCAACGATCTCTTTTGTTCGTCGCCGCGCCAAGCGGGACATTTTGACGAGATGAATTGAGCGCAAAACCGTTTCCGCGTATTTCTGTCGTGATGACAGATTCAATTTGTATAAATTAAATACATAGCTTAAAGACGGCAACACAAAACCATCTGAAAAAAGCTGCAGAATCAGATTTACATAGAAATTTTTAATTTTAACAGGCGTTCATTATTTTTGTTGCCAATTATTATTTTTTTTTTTAAATTATAAAGTTGCACATAACACTATTAAACCACCAAAAATTTCATTATAATGAAGAACAAAAGATAATTTTCTTACCTTGCGATTATCTGCTAATTTAAAAAAAAATTAATCACTATGATTGGCAAAATTATAACATGAAAGTATAATAATTAAAAGTTGCGACAACCATTTTTACATAGAGAATTTATATAAAAATTTATAATAAATTATTTTTATTATATTAACCAAAATATTTAAAAATTATTATATGAATTATAAAAGTTTAATTTAATGTGTGTTAAATGTTAAATATAAAATATTATTTAACATTTTAATTTTGACAAAAGTGTAAGTAATATTATTCATTGGCTTCCTTCAATTAAAATTTTTGGGTGCAAGAAAAAGAAAAAATCAATAAAAAAAATCATTTTTTTTTTTTATCTGGATATTCTTAATTAACATAAATAAATTAGGTGAAATAATAATTTGAATCAGCCACCTCTTGAATTTATTATATATCAATTATATTTCGTGCTTCACTCGGCATGTTCCAATAGCGTTAGTATAAAAAAATTATGGGACACTATATGCATGGCCGCATTTTTTTTTCTTTTAAATAAAAAATAAGATTGAATGAACTCTACACGAATATTAAATCAGTTCCTCTATGACTCCATTAAAGGCGTTTTCAACACACACATCACGATTTTTGCTAATTGCGTCCATTAATCACAGGCCAGCTTTTTCAATCAAAGACCAATCAAACGAGTTGGCCGAGACTAATCACCTACATAATTAGAAACCGCGTGCTCTGCACACACCAGGTAAATAACCCACAACTGATGGCGTAAAAGGCTATTTAGCCAACTTTATAAGCACAAGCGCGGCGCGCTGGCCATGGAGCGAATTAGAAAGCGCCGCGAGAAAGCTCTTTTCAGCCGCGAGTTTGGCCCCACAGCAGAGCATATCGCGCGCATTTTTATAAAAAAAGGCACAGATCAAGGGAAAACGACTCACTAATTTGAGCAGGGGGTTTTATATGTGCAGAAATTACGCGAATGCGTTTTTATGTAAGTGCGCAGGATGTCATTATTTCAGTTGAATAACGACGGCGATAAAAATATCACCGCTGCCGCCGCGGCGCTTCGGCGCCTGGTTGGTTGAAAAAAGCTCAATATCGCAGCCGCCGCGTATATTTTATCTTCCGGGTTTGCGCTAAACCAAGCTCTAGCGGCACTCAAGCCCTATTAAATTAAATTTAACATTTAACTTAATCATGGAAGAAATATGAAGATTAACTGAATAATTTTTTGTTTAAGCAAATTCAAATTATTTGTTTTTCATAAAACACGAAAATTTTATTTTTCTCCGACGCATTGAATCTTGATAAAAAAATTCAATTAAATGTTTTCAAAAGTTGATTTAACAAAATATGTATTTTAATTTGGTTGCATGACAGAAATTAAATTGATTTGCATAAATGAATTAAAATGTTAACAAAATAACGCAAGATTTGCAATATTTTTTACATCCATGCGCATTACATAGAGATTGATGACGGGAGTTTTCAATTTGTTCACTTAGTTCACTCTAATAACAGTTTAAAAGTGCATTATTTATTATAATATGTTGATTTTAAAACCTGATACACCGCGCAATTCAATGCACATTAAAATTGTTTTATAACGGAAAAAAGTTTAAAATAATTGACCGGCGTGTAAATGTGCCGCAATTGAATCTTATAACAGTGTATTTAACTAAAACAACAATGGAACTGAATTTCATTCTTGCTAACGATATCAAATAAAAAGCAACATTTTGCACAAAATGCTCTTTCTGTGCCTTTTCTTAAAACGTCTCTGTTTCTTTCAAAAGGGTGTTGGAAAAGAGAAATTAAAAGCATATTGATTGTGTTTCTTTTCTATAAAGCGCAGAGAGTCAGAATTTTACGAACTTATCCATTTTTTCATTAAGTATGTTCCAAATAAGTAATAAATTAATCATTTATGGAGACATTTTTTATACAAAAACATCACTTCTTGGCTTTGCGCATCAATCAAAATTAACAATTAAAATGATTTGAAAGTTTTCTGATTAAGATTCTCTCCCATAGTCAGAACTTATTGAGCAATTTTATTTATTTGCATATAAAATAACTGGCGATATTGCTGTGTGGAATGGAATTTCACGCCGTTTGACAGCGAATCATCTTTAATGAGTCGTTAAGCGGTGAGGTCTAGTCAATAAGGCTGGAGTTGATTGACGATTTGCAATTCATTTGGCGGACAGCGTTATGAGCGCGCAGACCAGAAGCCAATGCAAAAGCAGTCGGTTGGCGCGCGCCGAGGCGGCCCTCAAGGGAAAAATAAGCATCAAAGAGCGAAGGCCAGCGACTTGTCATTCCCAAACCCTTGACATAATTTCAAGGAATATGTTGAGCGGCGCAGTACGGTGCTGACGGCTCGCTCGCCGCACACGATTTAAATGGTGATTTATATCATTTTATCGGCAACTAATCGCCACTGCTCATTTCAGCGGCCAGAGTTTGATTTTTTCAATCTTGACATTTTTCAGACCAATTTTTGACTTTTTGTGTGTGAAAAAAAAGCTGTTTTCGAGTGATTACGGGTCTATTTGCTCGTCTAGGCTGCAAGTCACGAAACGTACACCGAGAAGAAGAAGAAGTGTCATGCTCGGCTGTCGGAGCAGTCCAAAGCCAGAGCAGGGGAGTCGGGCAGATAAAAAAGCGCTCTCGTCGCTGCCGCCGCGCCGCGGCTGCTGCTATATAAAATTGTTTCCCCTCATCCTTCTTATATTGTGTGTATATTATGTTTTTCTCCTCTGCCGAGGCCGTGTAGTTATCAGGGCGGCCGACAGCGTTGCCGGCTTTCCCGCAGACCGGTTCTTTCACCCGACGAAACACACGGGCGAGCAGCGGCGAAACTAGCAAATGCCTCCCACGTCACGGCCGCTGACGTCAGGCCTTCTTCCTTCTTTGCGTCGGGCTCTCCTTTCCTTCCTCTTTGCGCCCTCTTAATCTAAGCGCGGGCGTTAATTACTCTAATCAACTCGTACTCGGACGCATCAACACCTTTCCCACTTGTAACGATTATTTTCTAATAAATGTACAAAATTTATTATTTCCATTAGATTTAGATAGGTCAATCAATCAAAGAAAAGATAATTCACATTTTGATTTAATAGAATATTTTATTCTACTGCTAAGAATGCTTTGTACAGTGATTAAGTGAATTTTATTGGAAAAATGATGACGTCAATGATTCATATTTGAACAACATACAATTAGGAGGAATAAGCTGGAGATATACTATAAACATTTTTCAATTTTCCTGCATTCCAAAAATAGGCAATCAACAAGACTTTATTTTTTCACCAAAATGATTTCATCTGAAGCTGTACACGATATTTTACAGTGTTGTAAACATTTATCCAAGACATGTTTTTGTATATATTGAAGTCTCATCACAGTTAAGAATAACTTTAAATTACTACAAAAGTACTTAGAAAAGCTGTTTGCTCCTTCGACTAATTGTTAACATACTGAAGCAAACTAAAGATAGACACGATGAGGTAAATTCTACCTCGGGCAATAATCACTTGGAGTGTCCGCTCGAACTGATTGAAGACGAGTAGGGGGCGGGAGGGGCACTAGTGGTGGGGACACTGCCCATACCGAAGGGGTAAAGGGACCTCATGTACCCTTCGCTCAGGCGCTTCATCGTGTTGGCCGCCGCCGAGTGGTGCATGAAATGGGGGTTGAAGGACCACTCGGCGCTCTGCTGGTACAGTCTCTGGTACTCCAGTTGCTGGCGCATGAAAAGAGCGGCCGCGGCCGCCTGGTTGGGGTGTCTGGCCACCGCGGCGGCGGCCAGGAGTCCATTGTAAAGGCTGTTGACCGGCGAAAGGGGTGGCTCAAGGGTCGGTGACTTTTTGGAGTGCTGAGGTGGAGAAGGGAAGTGTCTTGACTCGTTTGAAGGAGGAGAAGGGGAGGGTGAAGAGGTTGAGGAGAGGGACGCCGGTCTCTGAGGCTTCAGAGAGGGAGGGTTGATGCTGAGGGGTTGAGTGTGGGGTCGGTGGATAGGGGCGAAGGGGGAAATCGTGGCGGAGTGGTACATCTTGGCACTTGGCTTGTGGGGCGAAAGAGGGGCGGGTGGTTTCTCCTCGATCTTGGCTTTCTTGGCCGGGTCCTCTTTGGCTACCTTCAGAAGGCTGTGTTCGTAGTTGTGGAACTTGTAAGGCTGGTGCGGCCTCTTCTGCGGAGATTTAGGCGCGATGCCAGGTGCACCACCCTTGGCAATGGCTGACTGTTTGGAAATCACTGTTTCCGCGGCGACCTTTGGCTGCTTGTCCACGTTGGACTTGAGGGTGATGGAGGTCTGTGGCTTGCTCAGTTCAGCCTTTGGCGGTTGGTTGGATTTGTTGGCGGCGTTCGAAGGAACAAGTTTGATCTCCAAGGACGACTTTCCTGAGCCTAACCTGGCCGAAGGTACAACAGGATTGGGGGCAGGAGGGGCGGGAGCGCTTTTTGAGGTTGGCACCACTGCTGGCACTGGGGAGGAGGATTTGCTCTTCTCCTTCTCCATCTGCTGCTGCTGCTTTCGCGCGAGTTCAGAGGCGATGGATAAAATGCTCGATCCACTTCCCGGTGAGCGGATTTTGGACTTTGACGGGGAAGTAACTACAGGGGAAATCGGAGACTTGGTCAGAGGAGAGGTCGTTGTCGGCGTGATGGAAACGCTCAACGGGGGAGGGGGAGTTTTGGGCAAAGTGGGAACCTCCACTTTGGGTGGGGTTTTTGGTCTCTCGGTGACCACGGAGGGCTCGTTGTTGTTATTGTTAGCAAGGGCGGCAGTCTCTTCTTTGATATTCTTATCAATAATGTCCAGCAAGTCCAGTTCGGGCGTGGACTCGGACGAAGGGGGTGGTGAAGGAATCGAAATTACGGGGTGCTCGTTTTCGTTCTGCGTGATCACCACCGCGACTTTGGGCGCAACCGGCGGCGCTACTTTTTCCTCTACCTTAATTTTTTCAGCGTCGGCAGTCTTTGTTTCTTGATCAGATTTGGCCGCGGCGTCGACGGAGAGTCTCTTCTTGGTCGCCGATACCATCTCGCCGGCCTTTCCCTTGCTCACCGTGGTCGGCTGCTGCTGAACGGGCTGCACCACCGCGGGTCTGGAGTCGTCGTAGAAGCGGTAGAAAAATCTTATTGGCGACGCCTGTTTGTGCAAACAAAAGAAAGGGAAAAAGAGATTAAATAAAAAGAAAAATTCAGAGGCACGCGTAAGTTAATTATAATTGAAGTAAGTGGTTGCGTACCTGTCTCCACGAGTAAATGTAAGCCACGTCCATGATTGTATAATCATCTGGAAGGCATACTTTGCGATGAATCACGTCCACCTGCGGGCAAATAACAATAAGGCGACGGTGAGTGCGAGTGAAGAGACCGATGTGGAATAATAATTTTATTGAGTCGCTGTCACAATAATAACGCTCCGGTATGAATTCCTCCTCCGAGCATTAGAGGGAATAAATTATATTTTTATAGAGGAAAGTACTTTTTATCAATTCCAAGCAATCCACGCAGGATTTATTCATCGCTTTTGCGCGATTTAAACTTGCTGGTCACGCGCGCAAGTTTCATACAGGCATAAAAAATACGCTGCTCTTATTGTATTTATATACCTTGTGGTTGGGCATAAGCTCGAATTTCGATCTGAGGAACTTTTTCAGAAGGCCGACTGTGAATAGGGCTGGACACTGGAGATATCGCCGGCCTATGGCTCCCTGCGGACACGAAAAGAACACACAAATGCATTTAGCTCTCTGATGGTATAAAACGTTTTATTTTTTTTTCATATAAAAGTTACGACCGTGCCACTTGTGGAGGTCGAAAATTATTTTTCTTTTCTAACCGGCGCGAGGTGTGTATTACACTCCTTGCACGGCAGCACCGCGGCGCACGGAGCGCGGCTGTTGCAAAAATAATAAATTACGGCGCTCACCTCGCTACTGCTCTCGTGGCTACTGGTGCTGCTGCGGGTCGAGCCCGTTTCCCAGTCGTCGTTGCGACAGTCGCCGCTGCTGAAACAAAAAATCACGCCCGTGTCAGACACAAAAAGCAATTTGAATAATAGAGTTTGTGGCCTTAAGCAAGCAAACTGGGCTAATTGAAAGTTGCAAAACGCCCGAGTGAACGCGCCGAGCACATGATTAATTATGAAAAATAAAAATAAAAAAATTCATTCAGTCTAAAATGGCACTTTTTATAAATCTATTGTGTTGAAATAATGAGAGGCTTGTGAGCATTCAAATAAGTTAATAGATGATTTTTTTTATTGCTCATATTTATTATTGTTGTTTATTTGTTAAAATTGCTACATCATATTGTTTACATTTAATTGTTGAAAACATTTTATATGAAATTATTTTATTTATCGTTTTTAAACATAATTTTGTTTAAAATATTTAATTAAATATTATTTATTTTCACATTTGTATGGATCAATAAATGTTTCCCTTTCATTTTGTGTTATTGTTGTTTTTGTGAGATATCACTGACGAATATTGCTGTTAATTGATTTTTAATTTGTATTCAGTGACGGGTAATTAATATATCATTTTCCATTGAGCATTTCACCAACCTATGGATGAGTAAATATAATGAAAAAGCCTGCGAGGATGGATTTATCGACGAGCCGCCGCCGCCTCTGCCGCATTTATTATTTGTCCATAACCCATAACGAGTGGTGGTTTGCTTTGATTCCGTATTGATTACAATCTCCCCCTGCAGCGGCGGAGCAAAAACTAGCAGCCGGGCACAGAATGCACGCGCTTCGCATATATAGAGAGAAACTCCCTTGGCTGAATAAGAGAAACGTGATGATAAATTTCAAAAAGATGTGTGGTTTTATAGAAATTATTTATTTCACTTCAAGAGTAATTAGTGACTGCGCGACAAGTTGTTTTAAATGTCGAGGTTCAATGTAATTAGTATAATTATTATACATCGCAGGTGACTTGCAGAGCAAGTTAATATAATAATTCAGAACAAGGTTTTTAGGGCGGAGAATTATCCAAGGGGAGCTTATGAAGTTGTAGAGACAAAAGAGGTTAAGCTGCTGGTGAATAATAGATAATCCGACGGTGGAAATGGAATTTATTTCTTTGTACTCGACGCTCGCAATTATGTTGCAAGAAAGACGCGTGACAATCGCTTGAATATACACGGAGAGACTGGATGTCCGAGCGTGATCGTATGGAGCAAATCCTTCCGATCAATCGTATAATGTATCCGATCTGATCGGAAGTAAAGTGAGATTTTTGATCACCTAAAAGTGATTGTATAAAATGTCCGATCTAGATCGTAAAGAATAGTCCTTACAATCACCGATCGGACAAAATATGCGACCCAGTTCTTCTACATGAGACGATCAGCGTGAATGAACGGAGTGTCCGATCAGCGATCAGACAAAATTTATGGTCTGATCGGAACGCGCCCAAGAGAACCGCGCTTGTTTATCAGCAACTTTCAAGAAATTCCTTTTCAAAAATAGCCAACGGTCGTTTTTCCGAAGCTTCCCTCCAAAACTTTGGCTTGGCGTCAGTTGGAGAGAAGACCTGGACCTGTGCGAATGTATTGCTCCTAAGTTTGTAAAATTTCAAACAATTTAGAAAGAAAACTGCCCCTGAGATCGAATTCAAATTCCACGCACTGAAGGTAAATTAAAACACATTGAATTAAAAGGCCTTGTATTTGAAATTCGATTTCCATCTGTGTTTTCAGAAAAAATCTCTCGAGTTAATTCAGCTGCTGCCAAGCTATGAGTCCTCCCTGAATGCAGTGCTACGCAGCGGCTCAAAATTGGAACAAGAATGCTCAAAGAAACTAACTTTAAAAAAAGGTGAGGTGTCTTCTTGTTTGCATTTCTATTAGGAAATTATTTCATTAATGCTTTGGTACAGCAATGCCTAAAATGATCATTATAGCAATTTAATTTGTCAATTTCAAATGTTGCAGAAATTTTCACTGATTCGCAAACCACAAGAACCAAACTGCATCCGGCCGGGATGGACAACATCAAAATTTCACCCCACCGGGATACTAAAACTGAGGATCAACCTTTTAAGAGTGATGAGTCCATTTTCTTTCTTTGAAATTTTAATTCCGCAAACTTAGCTTGATATGATATTGTTAAATTTAAAGTAATTATGCCAGAATTGAATAGCATAAAAAATTAGCCAGAGTAGCATTTTTTTTAAATTTATTGTTAAAGAGACTAATAATACATTAGATAAAATTCTTGAGCATGACGACAAGCTGAATAAACTTGTCAAACATTTGTGCCATTATTTGTTAATTTGATTTTTGACGATGTATAACAAATAAATTTTATATTCTGTACTTTGTACTCCTAAATAAAAAATATGAAACTCTATTTGAACTTGTATTTTGTTAATCACTTGAATTCCTAAAATAAAAATAAATATGAAATGAAAAATAAAAATTATAACAGAAGATCTGAATTGTAAAGCTTATACAAGCAAAGATCATCTAGTATGTCCGATCAAAGATCGTAAGGAGCAGCCGATTGAGTGCTATGCTGTTTTGTCCGATCAGAGATCGGACAAAATAGTAGGCTTTCGCTCGTATAGCTTATGCGAGCACGCCGAACGCGCTATACAATCCAGCTTGCACGCTCTGTCCGATCACCAGATCGTAAACGCTGTACGATTTTTTTCACTGTGTCGTTTTTAGGCGATCAGATCGTATAAAATTGAAGTATGATCGGACACAGAGTCTCTCCGTGTAGCATTGGGCCGTGAATGTATGTCATAAATTACGCGCGCAAACAAAAAGGTGCCAAATTTGGGTGTCGGTGATGCAAGGCTCGCGGCCGATGCTAATTTCGGAGCCGCGGCCTTCGATCGCCGCGAGACTGACTCTTGCCCAGCCAGTTTTATTGATCATAAGAGCAGCAGGTTGAATGAGATTGCGAGATTATGCGAATGGGCCATTCATTGAATCTTGCCAATTAATTTTTATGCGGTGCTGATTTCTCAAAAGCAAACGAAAATTTTCTACGCATTTTGATTTTGTCTCTGAAAAAAAAAATTGATTTTGATGAACTGCAGGAAGTCGGTTGGTAAATCGTTGGGTGTGTATTCGAAAACAAAATTTGAATAACATTCAGGATGTCAGAAAATGAGAAGCGGCGCGCATCATTTCTCACCCCGAGACCAAAAAGTTTCACCCCCTGTTTAAATATAAATATATAAGAAAGCCATCCTTCAACGCGACATAAAAAATGCAGCAGGCGCGGAAAAGAGAAAATATATCTAGAGCCGGCGTGCAGCTGCCAACAATATAAAAGCGGCGGGCATTAAATATTTATAAAGATGCCGATTCTTCGCGCTGCACTGCAGCGTTCTCTTTTGCCTGCCACATTATGTATTTATTCTGGGTAAGAGCGCCACGTATTATTTTATTTCGGCGTAAAAGATTTCCACGTCTGCTCGTTGACGAGAAAAGTCCCTCATGGGCCCGTCGATTTTCTCGAGAGCTGCTTAACGACCTGTGATCCTGTGATAAAGAAAAGTTTATTTTTGCTTTCGACCCTTGCAAACAATGTTCACCTTGTTTTAATTTAACCGTCATTTTCAAATAATTTTATTACCCTTTTAAGGGTTTTTATTTAGTTGCAAATTTTGTTTTAACATACTAAAAATTAATAAATAAATTAAATTTATTTGTATCACTTTTTATTTTTCTATTCTATGCTCTTTAATTTGAGTTAGTCCAGCATGTTCCAATAATTTTCAACACATTTTAATTAAACAAATGAAGTTTTCCATTAACGTGAAATTTTATGTGAATTTATTTAACACACACCCTTAACAAAAACTATGAATTGTGTAAATTCATATCTGTTATTGATAAGGCTAGCTTCTCATTGCTTCTCATATACAAATTAAAGTCAAATAAATAATTATAAAAAATTAATAAGCATTTAATCCAATTCTATAAGTATATAACTTTAAACTTATTATAAATATTAACAAAAAATATTAGAAAAAATTTTATAATTAAATTTTAAAATTAATATATAAAATAATAATAAAATATTTGAAACAATAAAATAGAAATAAAAGTTTATTATAAAATTAAGATTAGACTTTGGTTGTAAAAAACGCCTGATAAGAGATAAAACGATTGAGAGAAGGGGCGGACAGGATCGTCCCGAGCAAACCATCATTTTTTTCTACGCTTCATCCCCCAGCATGAGTTGCATTTTTTCGCCTGTATGCTTGATTATATAAATGCGTGCGCGCTGCTGCCGGCGTGTGCATTTTATATCTTCCTGGGCTTTTCTGCTCTCACCTTGGTCGAAGCACACAATGCAAGAAACAGACCATACAAATAAAATCATACAAAAGCGGGGCTTCTTTCGTTTGGAACGGCAGCACGTGGGACGAACTACTATCAAAAAATTTGTATTCCCCTTTTTTCATTCACTTTTTGGTGATACGCGCAGGGGAATTTTATATCACATCATTCTTCGCAGCGACATAATGCGACGAATGGCGTTTTATATACTTTGTATGTATAAATCTCCGTCGTCGTGATTTTTGTACCTGTTTGTTGTTCGTGGTCGGCACGAATTTCACGCTGCGATTTTCACGCGTTATCGCTCGGTATGAACGTTCAGATGCTCGAGTGCGCAGATAAAAATTTGTCTGATCCTATCAAAAGCGACACTTGAATAAGGTTTCTTTGAAATGAAATTATATATAAAAAACAATGAACATTTTAATTTAGAGAAAAATGTATAAAGATTTTACTGAATGTTTTAATAATATTAAATAATTTTATGCAGAATTTAAAAAAAAAGAACGAAACTAATTTTTAAAATTTTGATTGTGATTTTCATTGTAATTTCTATCAATTTCACAGTTTTCAATTCACTAGCAAACATTTTTACTTAATTTGATTAAGTGCAGTTGATCGCTTTATTAATTCAATCCATGAATTAAAGTAACGAAAGGAAAAAAATTGAGTGATAAGAATAAAAAACTAAGTCAACTGAAGCGGCGGATAGGGTCTTTTTTATCCCGGAAGCACTCGGACGTTTTAGCAAAATTCTCTCTGATGATGGTACCGTTTTTTCCAACAATTCCTTAGTTTTCAAATAAATTATTTTCAAAAACTTAATGTGATGTAACAATTTAGACAAACAAACAAGCAATAGTAAAAAATTCCCTGCAATTTGGGGAAACCGCATCTCAAGCGGCTTATCTTGATGGTATTTCCATTTACGCAATTTCTCTCTTTTTTCCTCATTATTTTTGAGTTGCAGGCCGTCCTAATAAAGTTTTGCTGCTGTGTATGTGCGTCTCTTAAACTTTTCTTATCAGAGAGAACGAACACGAATATTTTCGCCTCCGACAAGATAAGCCCGGGGCTGCCCGAAGCGCGCAAACAACGCTCGCCGGCAAATGAGCACCACACGCATGGAATATATATACATTTATATTTGTGTGTAAAGAAGTTAACATATTAACGACGAGGCACAATGAGCACCAGAAAACGACGCGGCGGCGACGGCGGCCGCGCGATAACCTCTGACAAAGACTTATTTACCGAGAGAGTGGAAATTCAAAGAAAAATAACATCGCATGCAGCAGCAAAGCGGACGACAAACGAGCAAACGTTGAAACTGCGGCTACTACAATTTTACAAAGTTGCTGATAAAGAATCAGAGAAAATCCCAGAAAAAATAAAAACTCATTTAAAATATTAAAATAAAAAGGCTAAAATTTATTTTTATATTTTAAATATTAATTTATTCATTTTCTGGTTAATTATAAAATCTTTTCCGTCTCAAATAATGTAAAAAATTTGTTTAAATGTTATTCTTGGAATCAAATTAATCTTATAAGGAGATTTTTAAGTTTATCTTTTTACTATTTTAATTTTTAAAACGATTTTTAATATGCCGCGTCAGTAAAAACGGTTCTTGCAAGGCAGTATTTTGTCCTCTGCTCGTGGAATTTGCTCGATTCAGCCGTCACGGGCACACACTCACATACACCGTATAATGCATAATGAGGATTAATAAAGGCAGCCGTAGCGGCAGAATGGAGCAGTTGGGAAAGAAAAATAAAACGACGCTGCTGAATTAAATTGAATAAGCTCTCGTGGAGCGAGGAAAACGAGCTGGCAGCGGCAGCATCAGCGCCGCGGTACAAATGATAAATTATTTCATGTGCACTGCAAAGAGAGGGACAAGAAGAAAATTGTGTAGAGAGAGAGAGAGCGAGAGAGGTTTGTGTACTCACTGGGGCTTGAAGTACTCGAGCGACAACGAGAATTGGTCTTGGGGCGAGAAAACGAGACGATCCATTGCAGTTCCACGCTCCTCATGAGTTGTCCGCCACACTGAAAGCACAAATTGATTGTATTATGCAAAACCAGATTAAAAAGCAGTCAAAACGTAAATAATTCTTAAATCTCAAAATAATAAAAAAAAAAAAAAAAAAAAATAAGAAATTTAATAATAATTCTTTAACTTTACGTTACTTTGACCACAAATAAAAAGTTTTGATTAAATTTAATTCTTTTCTATTTTATTTAAATTTTTTTTAGTTATTATTGTTGCTTATTTTTCAAATAACATCACAAAGTTGACATTAAAATTTTTATAAACAATTTATTTGATGAAAAAAAATGACTTAATTTTATTCAACAAGGCCCAATACAGTAAAAAGTTAATTTGCCTCAAGCTCCAAAATCAGAAGTAAAATGAATATAATGCGAATCAATTTTCTCATTAAACTTAAATTATCGTATCCGTATCCCTTTTGTATTTGATCTAATTGGCCATTCACATTTCGACATTGAGCTTTTTTCCTCGGTTCGCGGCGCAATGTGGGGCGGCGGGAATTTTTATTGCGATGTCATTTTGTAATAAAAAAGCTCTGCAGCGAGAGCAGTGTACGAACGCATGCTTGAGTTGGCACAGACAATGAGTTTTTCAGCATTAAAACCTTTTTTATTGCCTCTAAGTATGTCTTTAAACTCTTTTCTCTCTCGATCTCCGCGGAGAGAGAGAAAGACCATAAGAGAGTTTCTTCGCGCCATGGTGCATTAATAATGAGCCAAATAAATAATTTCTCTCCGTTGAGCTGAAAGGGCTGGAGAAATAAAATCCTCAGATTCCGCTGCGCCTATTAAGCACGCACGTTTATTACAAGAGACTCAAAACACGCCATAAATCATCTTGTTAATCGAAAAGCAACATCGCGCCAGAGGAGACAAAAGGCATACTCAAAAGATTAAAGAAAATCGACATTGGATACGGAAGAAACATGACGCGGCTGTAAATCTTTTGTTCAAAATTAGATTTGAATTGTCTTTCAATCGCTCCATAAAAAAAAAGAGAAGAGGATGCGCAGGAAATAATGGAAAAAATCTTTTTTTTTAATGAAATATAATTTAATATATTAATTTTAATTATGTGTTCATTCAACCAATTGTTACAACCAATAAACAACAATAATGAAATTGATAATTTGATTAAAATAAATGAAAAATAGTTTAGGAAAATACGTGTAAAAAAAGTATGCATTTCATTTGCATATATGATTTTCCTAATTAAGAATATAATCAAAGTACTTAATGAATGAATAATAATGAAAAGTAAACCTGCTCTTTAATTTACGTGTTATTTTCAGATTCAAATGAACCTTATTTTCAAAAATTAAAGAAGTTTTTAATTTAAATTTGTCTTTAATTTGGATAAAAATGCGAGATCAACAAATAATGTTGTCATGTCACCAAATTGCATTCGTTTGTAAAATGTCTTTTCAGAATTAATTCGAACCTCATTTTTTTTCGCACTATTATGTTGATATTTTCACCTCAAAATCAAAACATTGTATTTTCCAAGCATCATTTATAAAATTGATACAATTTCCTGTTTTGCACAATCCGGCTTTTTTTTATTTTGCAGTCACAAATTTCAACTATCAAAAGATTTGGAACTCTCGACGCAAACCAAGCGTGCCTAATTCGTCCTAAAAGGAATCTTTTCACCGCGTCTCTGCTTCCCCTTTTTGGCGTCAACTTATTTTTCAGTGATGAATTTTCACCCTACCGCACATTTTCTCTTTTCTTCGCAACTCTCAGAGGGAATATTTGCAGCTCTCAGCGCGGGAAGAGTTCTAAATTAACAAGTTGCTTCTCTCTCTCTCTTGTGCGAGAGAGCAAAGAGAGAGGAGGAAGTGTGCGTTCCTCCGCCCGATGAGACGACCCACGTCGCACCGACTGCGAAAAGAGAGAGAGAATCTCGTGTGGCAATCTAAATGGAATAAATTTGCCACTCTCGCGTCTCGTCATCTCGCGAATATAATGAGAGAAACACTCGTCGGCAACCCGCATAACCCACAAACGCAGTCGGCAGTGAAATCATATACGACGATGAGCAAGGAGAGAACATCATAGTTTTTTTATAACATGATGTATTATTATCTTTTTTTATATATTCTTGTTTTTATTTGTCAAATTGCTACAAAAAATTGTTTACGTTCAATTTAAGAAAAAATTTTTGTTTAAAAAAAATTATCTTTTCAGACAAAACAGCAATTATTTATGAAATATTAAGAAGAAAGAGAATTTATTTATTTAAGCCTTCACTTATTATAATCTTGAAACTTGAAATGGAAAGAATTTCAATACTTTTAATCTCAACTATTAAAATTGATATCAAAATATTTAATATTTTCAAGCTTGCTTTTGCTTATATAGAGATCTAAAACCGAACAAAATGAACAATTCAAATCCTTAATTAATTTTCATATTTTTTATGGTTTATTATTAATTTCATTAATCGCTTTTTTCACGAAATCAATTTTTTTTCCTCGTTGATCGCAGAAAGCTTTATTTCTTGATCACAACTTTTGTTAATAAATTTGAAAAGTTTTGTTTCAGGAGCCGCGCAAGAGTGGCAATATATTATCTTCTGCCCGAGCGATTTCTCTCTCCCAAGAAAGCGTTCACATCATGAAATTTCTCGCTCGCACCGCAAACAACAATAACAGTAATGAACAAAGTTGTTTGCGCCGAAAGACGCGCAGCTTTACTGCCTGCACCGAACGGGATTTACATCTCCGAATCCGCACCTCCGGCATATTGCCTTGCGAGTCAACGACACCCCTAGGAATTCAACAGCCACCCCCTCTGCACAGGGCGAAACCGCGACTAATGCCCTTCATTACCCTAAAAGCCGACGGTCTACTGTGGACGCGTGTGGGGCTCCGAAAAGGAAGCGCCGAGAAAAGTAGCAGTTTTTTTTCTTCTTCTTCCGAGAAACGACGCGAAATTCGGCCGCGAGCGAAAAAAAAGGAACGGCAGCAGCTTCTCTTTAAAATAATGCTCCCCTTCGCGCCGGAGACGGTAATCAAATTTCTCTGCAGTTGGGAAGTTGCGGAGCTGAAAAGCTCCTCTGCGTTCATTTGCGTTCTCGCCGCCGCTCAGTTAAAAATATCCGAGCCCATATCACACCAGGGCGTCAAAAACGCCGCCGCGCGCCGCCGACGGCAACATTTATTTATAAAAATTTACTGGTTAATGCGTTTCGGCTAGCAAGGCCCTCCCTTGAGAAAGTTTTTCTGGCCTATAACAACCTCGCTCATTAGCAGACACAGCTTTCAAGGGTGACTTAATGCGGATATCGTGTTTACCGAGTGTCACGCGCCATCCTTGACAAAAATGTTATTCAATAGATTTTGCATAATTAATTATATACAAATCAGAAAATTGAGACATTATCATTTTCTTTAAATAGAGGTTAAAATTCTATTCACGAATTAAATTTAATAAATTAGTTCTGTCAATATTTAATAAGAAATAAAATTTAAGCTTTTAAGTGCAGAAAATGAGCTTTCCAAGTTACAGAAATGGTTTTTTATTCAAAAACAAATGGCTCTGCCGGTTTCGATCACGGTCTGAGCGGCGCGTTTGCTTATGAAATTAGGTTATTTGGTGAATTTATAAGTTTTAAGATTTAAATTTTTATGTTAAAATGTTGTATTTTTCAATTTTGCTGATTTTTTTTATTTATCTTGCTAATGAAATAGGGTCGCAACTCGGAGACCGTGACTAAAACTGGTTGAGCCATTTTTTTCTAAATAAAAAACAATTTCTGCAACAACGAAAAGCCCGATCACTTGACAATTCTCTATAAGTATATAAATTTTTTTAAAGAGACGTTGGCTTTCTTAAATTTGTAAAAACAAATTATCGTGGATTTTCTTCAATTCAATGGTATATATCGTCTCATCAAAAGTGCAGATTTCATCAATCAAAACTTAATTGAACTTCTTCGTAAATCTTATTTGTATTAAAATATTTATAGTCGCACAGTTATTTATTTTAAGTGCAGTTCAAATGAACAATAATTAATGGGAGTAAATTATTTTCAATCAATAATATATATCTATATTGCAATAAGTTCATTTTATAGCGTTGCATTATCTGATTGACACCATGAGATAAAAAAATAACAGGTTAACAGTTGCGTTACACGGAGTAATAAATTGTACATTTGCTGAGAACAACAGGACTCACCTTCGTCAGGGTGTTTGGCGTAGAAGTCGCGCCTCCTCCGCATCTCGTTGTGGTAGAGGCCGGGAACGAGTTTGTACACAATATCTTGCAGCGTCTTATCAGATCTGCGAAAGCGACCGCGAGGAATGCAATTAAAATTAATCTGCATAAAACACACGGAGGGAAAAATGCAAACTATGTAAATAAATCACACCTTCCTACTGCGCTAATTAAATTCACGTTAAACCGCGCGAGCACGCAGGGAAATTTATTGCTCCATTCGCGATAATTTATGTCAAGATTATCTAAAGGTTTATGGATTTTCATGAGAAAGTGCAGCATGAAAATAATCATTTCTTGTTTAGGTCATGGTTCTTTTCATTCCAGAACTCTTTCTTTGTTTGAATTGCGGGCCGGGCCTTTGATGAGAGAGACAAAATCGTCCAAAGCAACCCTCTGCTGCTGTCGAACGAGAATTTATGAGTGGCTGGCCAATTTCTTTTGCTCTCAACAAGAAACTCGGCAGGTCAGGGAATTTGATTTTATTGCACCCTGTGGGAATGTCTCTTTGGCTGCATAGGTGGGAAAAAGGTTTACGCTGCGCGGAGAATAGATCTTTTGAAAAAGGATGGCAGCTTTTCCCAGAATCCGTATAATTTCTTGTCAAGCAGGCAGACCTTGTGAGCAGCAATACATCATGTGTTGGTTAATTGGTTGTCGGATAGTCAAGCCGTGTCAGGTGCAAGCTTTGAGAGATTTATCTAATTATCTTGTTGATGCTGTCGATTGTTAATAGAGGGAATTTAGAACCCATATTGGTAAAAGATTCAAACAAAAAAATGTAAAGTTTCAAAAGTTGAATTTCCTCGTGATGTTAATTAAAAAATGTTTTAATTAATTAATTAATTTTTTATATGATTTATTGTTTAAATTTATGGTAAGAATACAAGGCAAAGGTACTTACAAAAATGTTTAATCTCCAAAATTTCCAAGGTGAAAGAAAGGCACGTGAGAAAATTTTAGTCTTTCCCTCTCAAAGTCTCATTCTCAAATGACTCAAATGCTCAAACGTCTCAAACTTTCTTTGAAAGGACTGGTCGTCATTGGTCTTCACGTGCATTTTCCCCACCCCGATTTGGGCTTCGAGAGCAATAAAAACGTCTAAATTTTGCGGTCTTTAAGATCTATTTTCCTGCTGGAAATTTATGGAACGCTGGTTTGTGTCCCAAATTCCAAGTATATGTGTCAAGAAAGAAACAGGGGAGCTTTTAGTTCAGGAGGAAAACAAGCAGAAAAGGTTGCCAAGGGTTGTAAAACGTTTCACCAGCGCACAATGGCAAAAATATGAATTGGCGACAGGAAGGCGCGCGCGGAGGGAAAAAATTATTTCCACCTCCAGGGGTTGTAAATTTTGACCCAAGAGAACAACAACGTCTTCTCTATTCACGGCTGTGTGGATAATCGGATTGGAAAAATAAGGTTTCGAGTCCCACACGTAGAGAGAGTTGCTTTCCTCACAGGGGAATAAGTAAATAAACAACAAAGGCGTCGCACCTCTCTCGGAAATAAATTGTTTTACAATTACTCAACGACGCGCGCGGAGACAAGCTCTGGAGAAAACAAATGGCAGCGTTTTATAGTTTACGTGTTGATATTCTTGTTGTGCGCGCGGCTCTGTTGCCTGCACATTACAAAACAAACATTACATACCAAAGCAGCCACACACAAGGTGCATTATTTTATCCTCGTCATATTATTAAATGTCATCATCATTAAGAGGCAGTCAGCGTGCATTAAGTTTATACGGCTGCGGCGTCTCGTGTGTCGAGAGCAAAAAAGAAAAAAAAAATAGAAAACGAGCGAGAGATTTTCGTACCTGATGTGGAGGAACGGTTTGGCTTTAGGAAGAGGCGCATCACAGGTGGGACAGGCGGCGTGTCTATCGATGTGGCGCACCAGGCAACTTCTGCAAACTGAAAACACAGATTGACACGAAAATTAATTAAAAAGGAATCATTATTATAAAGTATACACAGCAGCATTGAATTTGTTGCTATAAAAGTAATAATTTAATTTACATGATCTTTTGGCTTTATTCTTAATATCATTAGTTATCAAAATCTATAATTAAAAAATGAACTAGTCATTCAAAAGCTTCATCAAATAGTTTTTTTTATATATTAAAATGTAGTATATACACCTTCTATCTCATATGACAATATATCTTTGAATAAGATGATATTTGATTATATTGTTTGGGATTATCCATATATTTATAAAATTTATACGATTTTGCAGTACGTTTTTTCTGTTGGAATGAGTCAAGTATATTTTCAATAAAATATCAAACGATTTTACATCATTTAGAGCTTTATAAACAATAATTATATAAAATATTTAACGACGAAACAGAAAAATAAATAAATAAATTTCAATATTTAGTTAAAAATTAAATATCTTTTAAATGAATAATAAAAATAAGGTTGTAATTTTATTTGAAAACACACCATGACTCAAGTTAGAGTTTTTTTTCATTGCATTCTTTTATGCGTACGTAGCAGCAGAGAGAATTTCCTTAATGATCATCCCGCCCTGCAGTGAACAAAAAACACGCTGGCCGTCAAGAGCTGACTGAGACTGCTGAGCAAACACCACACGTACAAGGGCACGGAAATTACCGGAAGTTGTTGCGGGCAATCATGCATGTGTGGCTAAGAACAGACCCTTAAAACTCTCGCTTTTATACAAGTATATAAAATAAGTCCGTATAAGACGTACACGTTGGCCTCTCTCTCTCTAATTAATGAAGCGTTTTGTCCGCGGGTGAGGCCAATTCAGAGAGTGAGAGACGCAATCAACTATTCATTCCGAGAGCAATAATAACAATATCAACACGACATTGAGAGTGCTGCATGTAAAATGTATCAAGAGAGAGCTATCATGGGGATTAAACGGCAAAGGGAGATGCAGCGACTTCTTTTGGTATGAAATGAGAAAGGGCGAGCGAGCGAGCGAGCCCCTCTTTGCGAACGAGAAGAGAGAGCGAGCCAAAGAAATTAATGAATTATTTCTTGCGTTAAAGAAGGGAACGAGGGCGATAAGACTTTGTAAGATACAGAGAGGGAGATTATATGTCCTGAACATATAGTTGCTTTTTAATGAGAAATACAAAATAAGAGAAAAATTGAGATATTATTAATTGGCATAAATTAAGATAATACACAATTTAATCGGTGCAATGCATTTAAAATTCTTCTGTAAAACGTTTAATATGTAATTATTTATGCAAATATTTCATAGCTTCTGTTCATCTATATTTTTCTAATCAACGTTTATTAAAAACTGATTTATGTAGCGTTTCTTTTCGCCGTTCGAAACATCTGCAAAGGAGCTCCTTCTGAGAACAGAAGCCTTCCTTGTTATCAGAACACCTGTCTCTCCTCCTTTTAATAAATTAAAAACACTGCAGAACTCATAATTAGATAATAACTCATTTTCCTCCTGGCTGCGTGCGTCACTGATAAAGATCGAAAATAATTCGAAGCGTTTAAAAAAATAACACGCGTATGCATATATAAAATTTCAATTTATTTTTCCTTCTTCCGCGTTTATACCAAATCCAACAAAACCTGTTGTTGTTTCCTCAATTCGAGCATTTATTAAAACACAAAATTTATTTACAACACACATCGTTATGCCCGCGGGTCGAAAATTACCAAACAAAAGATGCCACGCCCCAGAAGACACGCCCAAATATTTAACCTGCTCCGTTTATTTGCCAGACTTTCACATTTAACACGATTTACACGGCGCGCGGATTAGTTTGTGGCGCGGCAGCTCGATGGGACACTTTTTAATCTCTGTCTGGCTAGACCTGTGCTGTGTGAAATTAATATTTTACGCACACCTATAAGCGGACACAGAGGCACTCTCGACGCCGTGCGCGCTACTCTTTCTTTTCGACAACTTTTCACCTTTCTAATTGTGCCTAAAAACCTGATGTGAATGCGAGGTGTTTTGATGTTTTCCGCTTGACAGGAGGATTACAGATGTTTCGAAACAAATTAATTAATTTTTTAACCCGTTTAGAAACATCTGGATTTATAAAACTTCTGCTGATTTCAATGAAAGTTTTAGTTCCATGAGTCCCGCATAGAAAAATTATAAGGATTTTTTTTTAAATTGTGTCAATTAAAAAACCAAGGTTAAATCTTATTTGATTTTAAGGAAGCATTTGGCCTAGTTAAAGACATAAAAGGGTGATTTCCAGCAAAAAAATGAGAATATTTTTCTTCAAACGTTTCCAAGATGAAATCAGAATAATTGCTTATTTTTCTCTATATATCGATTTGTATTCTATAAAAGAAAAAGGCTTCTCGGAAAGAAAAGTCTAGCTGAGAACGAGATTTTTATGACAGTTCTATTAATTTAGCACAAATACAGGGCGAAAATAAAATAATTAAGGCAAAGATTGATTAATCAAAACGAGCTTTCTGAATCATAAGCATTTTCATATTAAATTTGTGACATTTTTACGAAGCTTAAAAAAACAAATGTTCTCCCAGGAGACATTTTGACATTATTTGGCGAAACGGAAGACATTTACATCTCGTTAAATGGTCTGGTCAAATGAGTGGAAGTTGCGAATAATTAATCTGAATAAGCCAACAACAAAGAACGCCGTGCTATAGGCTTTTAACGACTTTAAATGGCTTTTGCTTGTAAACTATAGCGCGAGTTTAATCGGCAGTTTCATTGTCTCTGGTCAGTTCGCCGCGGTTGTTGCCTTTCATCAGCATATTACACATTTCGCGGACGCGATCCCTGCGGAGCCGCGAACAACACACCCATGCACACACCGCATTTAAATTCGTCCAGGGATTTATTTTTGTTGGCCGGGTGGGCGGGGAGAGAGAGGAGGGTTGCAGGAAGTGCGTTTGCCTGCGGAAGTGCAGCTTTGATGGACCCTGCTGGAGAGGAAACGCAGAGAGCCGGCCGGTCAGCATAGGGGCTTCGACGCGTGTGCTTTTAAAATTTGCTGCTCGTGGCTTCTGAACAGAGAAAGGAAAGCTTTTTGGCAAATACGGAGAGTTGAGGCAAAAAGCACATATACGGCCGAGAGAAAAGGAGGGGTATAAATTATTTGCCATTGGAAAATTAAAAAAAAAAAAAAAAAAAGAACAGAAAAAGTATAATAAGAGAAAGACAAGGGCGTCATTAAAAAAAAAACTCCAATTGGAAAAATGTAAAAAAAAAAATCAAAATTATATATTTATTTTAATGTTGGACGGTTAATTGAAGAGAAAATTGCATATCACGTGACGATCTTCATAAAAAAATTAATGTAAAACGTATATAAATTAAAAAACAACTCATACATTTGAAAATTGCAATCAAATGAAATAAATAGCCCAAGTCCAAGAGGACTGCATAATTGCAAAATTTTGGTGGAGATTTTTAATAATTTTCTTTTTAATTACGCTATTTTTTTCTTCAAAATCTGGGCAAAAATGGGTGTTTTTGTTAATTTAAGAATTGAAACAATAGAAAAATAAGCCAGCAATGATCATTTTATCAGTTTTAGCCTAGATTTTGCATATATGCAAACATCGATGCTTTTTATATATATTTTTTTTTATTTGTTACAACAAAACCCCTTCCCATTTTCTCAAATATCTGTAAATCGCTTCAATTGGTTATTTTTTATAAATATAAATTATTTATTTGAAACAATTACATTTATTCAAAATAAATTTATTTTTATATTTAACTTTAAATGCGTTAACAGATTTTTCCAAACTAACCCTATTCAGCCCCTTAATGCCTTAATTTTGTTTTTAGAAAGACTTATTTTTATACTCACAGGAATGCAGACATTCGACAATCGTGGTGGCTTCGACGAGGTAGCCCTTGCATATGTCGCACACGAGGTGCGAATTGAGGTCCTGCAGCTTGAGCCGCTGACACTGCTGGTGCTGATGCATCTGAAATCACACGAGCAAAATCCATTAAAAAACTGCTTCCGGGACAAAAAAAAATCAGATATTTTATCATATTCAGCATATTTTTGTTATATACCGCGCGCTATTCCCTCCGCGGGCACAAAAAAGTAATTTGTACAGATTATTAAGTAGCTCGGCAGCTGAGATGCGATTACACAGAGCAAAAGGGGGTTGGCTGCGGTGGCTGCAGATACAATTTATGTGGCGCACACGGTGCATGAAAATAACATACACACAAAACGGGCGCTGCTGAGAGAGAAAATAATATCGCAGCAGCAGCAGCAGCGGGGCCATAGGGAGGGGGTGGGGAAGTATTGGCGGCCCACCTGGTTCGTGCCGCGAGGGCAGATGGCAAGAGCGCAGGCAGAGGTGAGCGAAAACTCCATTCACAGCCAGAGAGGCTCTTTTTCTTTCCATGTCCTTGTTATCGAACGTGCATGTGAAGAGAGAGAGAAAAAAAACGGCAGCCGAGTTGAGAAAAAAAGAGCCACGGTTGAACCGGCCGAAATCGAAGGAGTCGTAAAATTGTGCCTTGAAACGGTTAATTCTTTTATTTCTAAATTTATATTATGTACGGCTGCGTCGTGAGGTTATTAGATCATTAATTGGATCAGATAACGCGAGAGGCGGAGAGGATACTTGATATTGCTGCTGGAGTTATAGAAAAGGCTAGGTCACGGCCGGCCTTTGAATTATTGAATGCACTCTCAACTAGTGAGTACGTTTTTTGCCCGATTAAAAGCAGAGAGTGAGCAGAGCACTGAGTGCATCAACTGGATTAAGAACCATTAATTACGAGCCGGATGAATATCCTTCGGCGCGAGTAAGCAATCTTGTATGTAAAGTTAGATGTGATCGCATGCTTTATTTATTGTAAAATATATAAAACACGCAAACCGAGTCTCTATTCAAGCATGGATATAAATTTGCGCTAGAGCTAATAAGAGATGAAGATTAACAATTATTCACAACAAGGACAATTAGTGAGAAATTGATATACGAATCTTGGCCACTAATCAATATGAAACTCTTTAAAAAGTAACAAATTGAAATAGAATAAATTTTTTATGATTTACAGATTTTTGTTTCAGATTGACACGAACTAATTTCAATTAGGAATTTTCCGAGCCTCTCTCCACAAGATAATGATTTTAATTTTTTATGTAAATTAACCTATGTACTTTGTTTTTTAACTTCATTGATACGAACGTGATTATGGTATGATTTTGAATGTTTGTGTACCAATTTTTGTTACAAATTAATTTAGAATCAATTAGTTTAAAAGATTCCGTTCTCTCAAAAACTTAAATTTCTTTTACAATATGATGTCTCCTTGGACAAACAAATGCTAATAAAGATTAAAATTAACAAAAAAATAAATTACAATAATAATAATGAGACGCTTATAAAATAATAAATATTTAAAAATATTTTAACTTTAAGAAAATGGCTGTAAAAAGCTCAAGAAAATATCTAATTGTAATGATTTACAAAATCGCATATTATCTCAATTAACTTTCCTACAATACTCTTTTCATGTCAATTGTTTCATTATAGAGAAATAATCAAAATAAGCTCATAATAGCGATCAATTTTCATCAACAATTTTGCATTAAATTTACTGTTTACAGTTTTTAATAATTAATAATTACTATTAAAATATTATTTAATAAATGTTGGAAAATATTGTTCGTTTCCAAGTTACATTTTTCCTCTTTTCATCTCGTGCACAATAGCAAGCTCATCAGCAACACATAATGATATTCCTGCAACAATAACAAATTGCACAAGCATTTTGCCGCTGCATCCCCTGCGCCCGCCCGATCGGACGCGCGGCTATTCGAGTCGCTGCTGTGCACACACGGCGGCGGCGGCGCATTAGTTAAGGTCGGTATGTAAATTTAGCGCAGTGGAGCAATTCCGAACACAAAGAGCAACTTGTCGCCGGCGCAATAATACCGAGTAGCTTTTATTAAACAAACAGCACGCGCTGCGCTCGGCGTAATCCTCTCCTCTGTGCACTGCATATGTAGAGAGAAGGGACCAGATAATAAAAAGGGCGGGCGGCTCCCGGCCCGAGGGGATGCTGCGCGGGGGTGCGCACCACGTGACCAGCCAGGGGTGTGTCCCGCGGTTCGGTCTTTTTTGCACAGAGATCGATCACCGGCCGAATAGTTTGTACAAATTCGTCCCTCGAGGGAGAAGTTTTTGATGATTGGGCCAATTTTTTGTCTATTCCGTATATATGCGTGCGGTGGTTTTTTGCGGCCGCGAATTGATTGAGTTGCGGTCGCGGAAACCGAAACATCAAAGAGGGACGAGAATGGGAAAACACAATTGACGAGAAGAAGGAGAAGTGCAAGAGTTTTGTGGGGCTTTCACTCGTAGTTTTGCTTTGTGATACCGAATATGCCGCGAATTGCACCAAGAGAGAGAGGAAAGAGAAAGATGACTTGTATCAGAATCAGAGTGAGGTGGAAATTGAGTGAATAAAGAGGAATATGTTACATGAGCAGAGGAAAGATATGAGATAAGATGACATGATGAGATTCTAGAAAGGCAAATCTTAGTTGCACCAAAAGAAAAATTGACAGATTAGAAAAATTTATTTCAGATTTATTAAATTTAAAATTCAAGAAGATATTTATAAATAAAAATTTTAGCAATTATAAAAGAAAAAAGAAAAAAATGTTTTAAATTTGTTTTAAAAATCGATTGATAAATTGAAAGAATTATAATTATATACATTTTTAATATACAAAAGTTGAAAAATATTGTTATTTTAAAATTTCACATGAATGAATTTGTTAATTTAATCCAAAAATTAATTATTTAAAGAAAAAAATTTGTAAATATATATGAATAATCAAAATGAGGTTAGAGAACATTAAATTATCGTGCTTTTAATAGAAACCAAACTATATTGGTTTATAAATTTATGGAATGGAGATAATTATCAGAAATTTTCAACCCATTTTTTGTCTCCTCTAAACTCTTTTTATCCAATTTATTACTCCCTAGTATGGCGCAATAATTCTTTCTTAAAATTATTCATTTATATCATCTATAGAATTGAGAAAAGTTTTCGTGGCAAACATCTAGCTTAATATTGATTCAGCGCTCGGGAAATTTATTATTGACCCTGTTCGTCTTCTCTCTCTCTCTCTTTACAAACAGCACGCCGCGTTCGTCCGTCGTGCACTGCAGCGCAGAGAGTTGCTGATGAGCAATTTCACTCGGCGCGCGAGGCGGAAATATTCATAATTCGCCGCTCGGCATGAGGCGGGGAATTAATTTTCTTGACGCAGAAGTATGCCATCGCGCTAGAAGGAGAGTGTCTGCGCCTATACAAACGTGGTAAATATACATTTTCGTTTCGAGCTTGAAGCAGAGTCGTGCGCTGTATTTTATGTGCACGCGGCTTTTAGAGCTCCGCGTCGTCATAAAGCAATTTCATGCGCGGGAAGAGAGAGAGAGCGAGTGTAATGAGAGAGCGCAATTTGTTAAACGTCTCTTGTGGCTGCAAAAGGCAGCAGGGTGGTTTCGTCCAAATGGCAAATTACGCGTGCGTTGAATGTATTTATCAAGTGCAAAATTACGAATGAAAATTGAAAGTGAAAAAACTGAAATAAATAAATTAAGAAAAACGTGAAGCGTGAAATAACTTAATTTTTGTCATATTCAAATAAATATTAAAGTAAAGAAATAAATAAAAGAGATGAAATAGTTAAATATTGAAATTCATTTTAAAAAATGTAAGTAAAATATTAAATGTTAGGTTTTCTACATGGAAAAAAATGATTCTTTGGCAAAATATAATTGAAATTAATAATTTAAAATATTTGAATAAGGAAATCAATAAATAATAAATTAATTAAACATTGAAATTAATGTTAAGTTAAAATTTTAATATTTTTTTGTTCATTTTTTCATAGGAATCAACGTAAGTGAGCATAAATCGCCCTCAAAAACATTTTTACATTGGATTAATGAAGCGTGAAATTCATGCAAGATAACTTTCAACCCTTTCAAGCACGCTGCAGTGCCTTTACCACATCATAGAACTAAATATGGTTAGTTGTACCGCGAGTAATGTTCACCCAGGGCGCAATCGGGGTCGATACGAAACACACTCGCATGATTAATGATCAGCACGCAAAAATTGCATTTCACGCGCGAGTGCCGCCGAAAAACGCATACAAACTCTTAAACGTTACCAAAAAATCACCCCTTACAAGCCACCCTTTGCCGTGAGAAACAAAAGAGGGGTGCCGAACGAAGAATGATTATTTTTCGTTTGGTTTGGCCGATAATTGAATTTGGGCCAACGCGAGATAGGGCGCATGTTCCGCCGCCAGCGCAGACGAGTTGTGCGGGGGTGGCTGCCGCGGGGGTGGCCGGCGTATTTCACGCACCACGTGGCGCTTCACGTGGGGTGCGACGACGCCGGCGCAGCATCGATCTGTTTTCGGCTTTGGGGCAGGTCTGGCTTTTATGGGTCTTCCCTGCCGTGCATGTTCGCGAGAGAAAGAGGCAGCCAGGGGTGCTCTCTCTTTATTTCTGCCGAAATGATGGATGTGCATCCCGCGCCGAGGGTGAGAACGGCACGTCTCCTCTGCGTCTGCCTCAACTCTCAGCGCACACATCCAACTTTTCACGCAATTCTCCGCATATCAGATTTATTTGCAATTTCACACATTTTCCGATATGCGCTTTTTTTAATAAAGTTTTACTTCTTATGAACTCGAAAGTATAAGTTTGAAGTTTTCCTCTTCAAGAACCCTCTCTCCGAACTGACTCGAGGCTGATTTAATAGGACTCGCACTCATGGGATACGCGCGCAGCTCTCGTGGAATTCAATTTGCCTCTCTTACTCTGTCTTACTCGCTCTGTCGGAATCAATATAAAAGGACGTATATGTGCATGGAATTCCCGACTCTATATAAAACTGGTGTGGATATTCCCTTCCATATATTTCCATT